AGATTTAATGGAGCTGGGTATTGGTTGCATTAGGGTTCATAATAGTATTCTATTTTTGAACGTTGGAAGTATTTCATTGTTTTTTTTTAATTTTATACTTAAAGATATCAGCAAACCAAATGGTCAGTCATCTAATAGTTTATCTTTTCTCAACTTCATAGTTAAAGCTGAGCAACAAGCTCTCTTCCCATGAGGTTGTCACTGTGTCTTCTATCTGTCCACTTTTCTAGGCTAAGACACAAGGTAACCAGCCCATATTGCAAGAGCATCTAAAAGCTCCAGAGCTGTCCTTGCTCCTCTTCCCCATTCAGGCCATTCATTCTGTGGCATCCGTCATGTAAACACTGACTAGCACATGGCCAGACACCTGCCAGGTAGGGTTAGACTACAGAGTCAGCCAATTTGGATAAATAGAATATATAAGCATGATTGATCCAAAATTGTCTACACTGCCTAGGATGGCCATAATCCAGACTCTGCTATGGCTGGGTTCACCACCTTGCTATGACTTAGAGATCCACTCTGGATGCCTGGACCATCCTCCTCTCAGTTTAGCAATTGTTTGAAACCTTCAATTTTGCCCTACATGAGAATAAATTGATATAATCAAGGCACTACCCTTTCTTGTTTTCTGTCCTTTTTCTTGAGCCATAGTCACATCTGGGTTTTTATTTGTGTATGTCAAGTCCGACTGATACTTTTCCTCTGCTCTGTACTGAACAAACAGTAACCTCGGTTCCCATTTCTGTCTGCTCCTTTACAGGCTCTATCACATCACACTGTGGACCTTCCTCCTCGCCCTGGGGCACTTCCTCTCAGAGTTATTTGTATATGGAACTGCAGCTCCCACAATTGGTGTCCTGGCACCCCTGATGGTGGCAAGTAAGCATCCAACCGCCCTAGACCTCCTGCAGGGACTGTCTAAGCACTAGGGCTGGTACAAAGAGTAGACACAGGGAGACAGAAGAAAGGTGCTGTGTTTATGTCAGTCACTAATATTTTCTCTGCATTTAAGGTTTCTCCATCCTGGGTATGCTAGTTGGGCTCCGGTACCTAGAAGCAGAACCAGTATCCAGACAAAAGAAGAGAAACTGAGGCCGACATCACCACCTCTAACTTCACCGTCTTCCACCTTTGCTGTCTTTTTCCTTCGCCATAATTAATAAGTAATTGATGTAATCAGAAAGTGTCCTTTTTCTTGAACCATAGTCACATTCTGGGTTTTTAATTTGTGTTTGTCAAGTCTAGCTGATACTTTTCCTCTGTTCTGTATTGAACAAACCGTAACTTCAGTTCCCATTTCTGTCTGCTCTTTGATTTCTTTTCTGTTTCATCATCAGCCCCTTTATTCACTTTTAGCCTCTTAAGTTTTTTTATATTTTTAAAATTTTAAGATATAACATGCATACAGAAAAGTATATAACATGAATGTACAATTGGAGAATAATTTTAAAGTGAATACTCTGTAACTCCATCCAACTCAAGAAATTGCCAGCACCTCAGAAGCCCACTGTGTGTCCTTCCCCTTCCTGCAGCCTCTTCCGGGCTCCCTTCTCCAGCCTCCTGCTCGTTTTCCCTTTTATTTTCATTCCTTGATTTGACTTGTGTGGTGGGAACATGCGAACTGTGAAACTTAAACTGCTGCCCACCCAGAGCAGCTGTGACCAAGGGCTGCTTCAAGAGGTTATCCACACAGATCGGGTTCCTCTCTGCTGCTGGACCCAAGACTCTGAACTATCCAACGGACAGGCAGTTCTTCTAAGAAGGGCTTTCCTGCGCACGAGCAGGACCACGGCTCTCCTTCTGTCTACAGAAGGATGAGGGTTGGAAGAGTCTGGGATGTTTTTAGACTTTCTGCTCAGTTGTATTTGTGTAAGGAGTTTTGTAATAAACAGAAAAACCTTCTGCTGTGATCAGTCCTTGTGCTCTGACCTCCCCTAAGACAAGAGCACTCCCGCCCTCCGACTCCTAGGATAGGAGAATCATAGCTGTCTACCTGATCGAATACACCACAGTGAGTAGGACAGCTCAAGACACAGGTAACCCTGGCTCCCTCCACCTCCTAATTGTCACTTGCTCATTTCTGTTGTATTCTAGAAGTCAAATCTTTCTCTTTTTCACTACCTTCAAGATTCTGTGTTCACAACTGAACGGGCACTACCCTTTCTTGTTTTCTTCCTAAAGAAGCAGCAGATTCCTGAGAAAGCAGAGATAGAAAATAGAACTAGGCAACGTAGCAGAGACAGCAAATAGAAGAAACAGCTGCATGACCATGAAAAGAAGGCAGTTAAACCCTGAGGATAATGTACTGGAATGGACAGTTGCCCTCTGAACACTACCCAGTGGGCCTCCCACTGGCTGGGCCCTCACAGCATGTGTACCCAAAAGGCTATTTGTTATTTCAACAAATATTTATTGGCCACTCCTCCATGCAAGACACTTGGGAAAGAGAAATGAACAACATAGGCAATGACCCTGCTCCTCTGGACCTGACATTGTCGTCAAGATAACAATGAACAAACCAACACATGAAAGAAGAACTTCAGATAGTGATAAGAATTCTACAGAAAACAAGGTATTTTGATCGAGAAGGGGGTGGGGCGGTGGGGGCATAACTAAGATTAGGTCATCAGAAAGCCCTCCCTGAGAAAGTTGGGATTTGAGCTGAGACTCCTGAATGCCCAGGGGTTGGGTGTCTTAAGATAAGAAACAGGCTTTTAGGGCAGAGGGAGCAGCAGCTGGAAGGTAGGAACAGCCTTGTTCAAGGAGTAAGATCAGTGTAACTACAGTATGGTGAAGAGTTGGGAAGTGAGAGGTAGATGATAAGGTCAGAAAGGGAAACAGGCCTTGCTTGACATTTGTACTTAAATACACTGGGAATTCTCTGGCTTTTTTTTTTTTTTTTTTTTTTTTGAGACAGGTTCCTGCTCTATCACTCTGGCTAAGTACAGTGGCGTGATCATAGCTCACTGCATCTCAAACTCCTGGGCTCAAGCAATCCTCCTGCCTCAGCCTCCTGAGTAACTGGGACTACAGGTACATGCCACCATGTCCAGCTAAATTTTCTGTTTTTGTAGAGACAGTGTCTCGCTCTTGCTCAGGCTGATCTTAAACTCCTGACCTCAAGCAATCCTCCTGCCTCAGCCTCCCAAAGTGCTAGGATTATAGGCATAAGCTGCTGTGCCCAGCCACAGTTAAGGCTCTTTAGGTGAAAGTAACAAACTCTACCTTAAACTAGCCTAAACAATAAAGATAACAACATTGGATCACATAACTGAAAAGTTTTAAGATCATAGGCTTCAGGAATGGTTTGATCAAGACTCCAGCTCCGACTAGCCTGAGCAACATAGCAAGATCCCATCTCTACAAAGACATAATTTAAAAATTAGCTGGACATGGTGGCACATGTCTGTAATCCCAGCAACTTGGGAGGCTGAGGCGAGAGGATCACTCAAGCCCAGGAGGTCAAGGTTATAGTAAGCTCGGTTAATGCCACTGCACTGTAGCCAGGTGACAGAATAAGACCTTTTCTCAAAAAAAAAAAAAAAAGACTCTAGCTCCCTTTCTCTGTGATTCATTCAGCTCTGCCAGTGTTGGCTTCATCCTCAGGTTGGCTTCCTTTATGGTGCCAAATGTGCTTGCAGCAATTCCAAGCCTTATGTCTGCAGAACACTACATCTAGAAAAACAGCTCAGTGGTAAAACGTATCTTTTCCTCACTCACCAACTACTGTAAGGAGATAGTAAGAAAAGCAATGGTCATATAATCCTAGCACCTTGGGAGGCTGAGGTGGGAGGATCGCTTGAAGTCAGGAGTTTGAGACCAGCCTGAGCAAGAGTGAGACCTTGTCTCTACCAAAAATAGAAAAATTAGCCAGGCTTGGTGTACACCTCTAGTCCCAGCTACTTGGGAGGCTGAGGCTAGACGATCACTTGAGCCCAGGAGTGTGAGGTTGCAGCGAGCCATGATGACACAGCTGTACTCTCGGGCAACAGAGCGAGACCCTTTCTCCACTAAAAAAAAGAAAAAGAAGAAAAACAATCATCTTACAGAGAGTTAACGTTTGAGTGTAGATCCACATGGAGAGCTCTTATGAAAGGAGTAAATGAAAACAAGATGACTTGGGTCTTCTAAACATGTGGCATGTGTTAGAAATGTGATTCTAGATAAGTAAAAGCAAGATTCCAAAGGATTTAAAAAGATACATAGTGTATTTTGCAGGCACTATCAATATTAGATTTCTTAACAGCCCAGGCTTGGGTCTCTTCCCAAATGATATAAAATAGAATTGTAATATTGTTTCTCATCAACTAAGAATTGCTAATAAATATGATGCCTGAATGCCACAGGCATGGGACAACTGGCTAGGGAAGAAATGTACAGAAAACTGGTAGCAGCAGCATATCTAAGTGACATCCATATGGTCAGCATGACGGGGGAGGAAGGACTGGCAGTAAGTTCAGAAGAAAATGATAATGCAGGACTGCAGATGCTGGGACCGAGCTGTGGGCTCTGGCCACAGCAAGCTGGTACGTGGCCAGCGTGGCCACAGAACAAACACTTCGGCCCCCCTTTGAGGCAGAGCCAGAAACAACAGTGAACTCCCGTCAGCAGTTAGATTCTAGCACAGTACAGAAAGAGGTCAGGGTCACATGTTGGTCATTGAGTAGCAGCCGTCCTTGTAGGCAGATAGTAACCTTTACATCTTTGTGTTTAAAAAATATCCCACCAGGACGGGAACATCTATGGCAATGGAGGGTGTAGGTTCTCCTGCGGAAGGCCATAGTTGCTCCTCTAGCCTCAACCCCTACCCCTCCAGCCCTTTGCTGTACCTTAGACACAGTCCTCAGGAATGTGTGATCCTCTTATGGGGACTACCAAAAGCCATCTCTGTCCCACCAAATGATAAGGCAGACCACTTTGAGAATCTTTTATTGCCTTAAAACATCTGATATGACAAATAGAAAATACAAATTGTTTTTAAAATAAAGCAATGGGTTCAGTAAACATTAATACATTTTGAGGGGTGGAAGAGTAAACATCCATCTCCTTATCAAAAAGTAAGACACACCCTCTTTTCATCTCTCTTCCAGCCCTCACTCCTTCCACCAAAAGTAGTGTGAACTTCTTTTATTACATACAGTATGTTCCTCCCATCCATTGCTCAAATCTGTACACACACACACACACACACACACACACACACACACACACACACCTGGCTACCCTCAGGGGCAGTGGCCCAAGCACCGCGGTACTGCTGAGGCCAGAGCAGTGGCCAAAGCAAGATGGCACAGTGGTCATGATCACAGCTGCTCAGTGCATAGGAGAAATTACCAAAAATTCTCTTATTTTCAAGAGATACTATCAAAGCCCATTAATAGAGTGAGACAGCAGGAAAGGAAGTCAGCTTGAGTCAGTTCAAAGGGAATTCCTTTAAATTTAGAGTGTCTGATAAAGGTTATTGCTAGAAGGGGATGGGAAGAGGGGCTGGGTGTGCAAATACTGTCCCCAACAGAGTTGGGATAAGCTTGATTCAAGTAGACTCAATTTCCATTTCAAAGGGCATCTTTCCTTCTACCCCTTTCCTCTTACCTCTCAGAAGCACCTTTGGAATTGTCAGAGTGGAATGAATCAAGATTAGTTTTCAGTAAAGGTTAGGGTGAGTTGGCTGGGATTGCCCCCCTCAGGATAAAACAAGCCCTTGGGCTGATGGCTGGGTTTCCCAATGCAGCATCCAGATAAAGGCATCCGAGGTGACTATGACACACACAAGTTCCTGGGCAAGCACTTCTTTTGTAGAGAAGAACCTTCCCATTCCCAATCAAGCTACCAGAGTGTCCAAATATTGGCTTCCACAACCATGCTGGGAAGGGGGGCCCCAGCACCATCACACCTAGGTAGTTAGCCCTCCCAAATCAGTTTCTCCTTCACGGCCACGGTGACGTTTTCGGCAAGTTTATTGATGTTTGGTTTGATCAGCTCTTAGGAGAGAGGGATTGGAGACAGACCCCAACATTAGGCCAGGAGAATTTAGGCCCAGGAGTCCTGGTGGAGCTGTTCTCAGGGAGCTTCCTCTCCCACAGAACGTGGTCAGACGGATGGCCCAGGAATGACCCCCAGGCAGGGCAGCTTGCGCTTCTTACAGCTGGGCTTTGTGGGAGGGTCTGAAGGCACTAGAAAAAGTTAATATCCTGAATAAGCTTTCTTCCTGTGAAAATTTTGCAGTCATTCTCCATGAGGGATGGAGGTGAAGGGGAAGGCAAGGGACCAAGCTAGGATTGACTCCAATTTCTCCACCAGCCTCTCCCAACACCAACTCCTGTAACCTTAAAGGGGGTGGAGGCAGGAATTGAAGCTGCATTTGGTGAAAGGTGCAATTTTCCCCAACTAAATCATCCAAGCTCTTGAGTAGGTTCCAGGAGGCATAGGCACCGTTGTTCAAGCCACAGATATTCCAGCTGGTTCCCTCCAAAAGCTTCTCCAGTGAAGGTCTTTGTGCTGGCAGTGAGAGCCATGCTGGAGGAAGAGGCAGGGTGTTCACGTTCCCTGGGTCACTGCCACCTTTCCCTCTCAGAGGTGATCCTCCGATACAGTGGTGGGCACCTTGCTGGTATTGCTGCCTTCCTCCTCCTCCTCCTCCTGGATTTTCTACAAGGCAAAACAAGCAGGCAGCCCTGTGGGTAAAAGGCACAGGACTCCACCCTGTTTGGAGCAACTGCCTGTCTATGACTTTAATCAGTGGGGAATACAAGGGACAGAGGCCACTGAGCATCCCCAAGAGCCAAGAAAGGGAGCAAGAAGCTACCAGCGCCTGCCATAAATGCGCTCCCCGAACACACACCCCCCAATGTCACAAAGTCATCAAAGAGAAAAGAGCCCAGCTTTCTATAATGCCATGGCCACCACACACCATCCCACTCCGAGTGCCGCTGTTCCAGGCTCACTCCTGGGATTGAAATGGAAGCAAAGCCCACTTTCCCTCCCCATCCTGACAGCTAAAACCTCACCTCGACTACCCATCAAATAGCTGTAAACAGTGCCAGGTCTGCCACTCCTTCAGAATTTCCAGCTACCCCGTTTGGGAGCAGACCCCAGGATGAAAAATATTATTATATACATGGAATGGATGCCACAAAGAAATTTTTAAAGGCAGCATACGTAGTTGCATATATAAACTCAATGGCTGAAAATGTGTACATATTCTTTCTCCACAGAAAAAAGACTTTGGGGCAGGTTGGCCTTGGCTTTTCTTGGGGAAAGACGGTACAGTATTTGTTCGTAGGAAAGTCTTCTGGGTCGCACTTGTTAGGTGTGTTTGGAATTAAATGTGGCCTGGAAATTATCCTGTGGGGCCCTTGGTGCATACTGCCAACTTGGGCATTTGTCTGCTATTTTTACTTGTTACCTCAGGTTCTGATGGGCACAGGCACAGTACCACACAGCCAAGGCCACTCAAGGCCTAGGACCTAGGACATGCACAGGACCAAGCTGGAGCCCAGTGTCAACTGGACAAATGGTGCTTTCTTCCCAACGGAGCTGTAGAAATCCAGCCTTTCCATGCTCAATCTTGCTAACCTTTTGGCACCAATTAGCCTCAGCCATGAGGAGCCTTCATTCTACTAACAGCCTACTTAGTCCCTCTCTCCTCTCTCGCTCTCTATCACACACACCTGCCTCCTCCAAAGCCATCACCTTGAAATCACAGAAACAGAGGTTAGTAGGGACAGAAGCTGTTCCTGTCTATGTGTTGGAAGAAAAATGGAAACCCAAACCCAGAAGATTTGCATAGTCAAGGTCAATCATCACCCTTGTCCCAAAAATCCTGTCTCTTTTTTTACCTAACGATGCATCTCACTGATTAGAAAGAGCAGATCTGCTGCATGCTCTGTCTTCATCTGGCTCTGACAATGAATTTGTCTGCAGGTCTCTGAGTTATACTGACCGCCACGGGGTATGTAATGACAGGGCTCCAGAGGAGAGCTTCTTGCTGGTGTCAGTCCCAGCATGACTCTGGCCTCCCCATAATACCAAGCTGCCACGGATGCCAGGGAGGTCTAGAGATGCATGGTGAGTTATCCAGGGACACGAGTCAGTTGAGCACCATTCCTGGAACTTAGGCTCCTATTCCTACTCAGTGCTATTTCCAGTACCCCACACTCAAGGAGACTGAGCCAGCAACTGCTTGGTTAGCAAACCCGGTCCATGTGCACAAAGATCTGGCTGCAAGAATAGTGAAATACTGGAACAACTGAAATATTAAACGAGCTGGAAAAATATATATATTTCCATAAATATATACATTATATATATTTCTATAAATATGTATATTATATATATTTCTGGTTCCATAAATATACATATATATTTCCACAAATATATATATGTAGGATACATATTTCCATAAATATAGATACATATTTCCATAAATATATATGTAGTATATAGTTCCATAAATATATATGTAGTATATAGTTCCATAAATATATATATGTAATATATATATATATTTCCATGAGATTGTGGAAGAATGTAACAGTGCGGAAAGGTTGCCAAGCTATTAATATATGAAATAAACAAGCAGGATAGAAAATGAAATGTACACAAGCATACCTACAGATCACAACACTGGAAATGCTACTAGGTTATCTCTGGGAAGTAGGATTACAGGTAATTTTTATATTCATCATTTGTCTATATCTGCCAACATAAACACAGGTTATACAGTAAACACAGCAAAATCTCATGTCACCTGACACAATACGTCACATTCCAAATTGAAACCTTTTCGGCAGAAATCTGTTTTAGTACGGGCACATTTTCCCAGGCTCACTATATTCATATTCACCAAAGTCTACCCAGTCATTACGTCTCCTTATACACAGCACGGGTGAAAGCCCATCTCCACGGTGGCCATGCCATGGTCCTCATGCAGGACTAGAGAACATCATTCCTGGGTTACGGGCTTCCCTGTCTCCCCAGTGGATTTTCCTGTTCTAGGCTCCTCCTTCCACATGCTACTTGCTGCTGCCTGCCAAGTCTAGAATGTGATAGCAGAAGACAAATAGTAAAGAACTGAAGATTATCATCTATCTGCCAAACATATCCTTAAAACACTAAAAATATCTCTTGCAGATAACCATTTCTGCCTTAGAAACTGGCAAAGATTTTTCAAAATGACAAATACTCAGTGTTGACACTCATATATACTGCTATAGCAATATAAATTGGTAGTATCGATAGTACCTTTCTAGGGGACAGTTTAGCAACACATATCAAAGTCTTAAAATGGGCACGACCACTGATCCATTTCTCAAGTAAATACTGTACTTAAGAACATGCACAAAGATTCAGCTTCCAACATATTAATCACAAGATTATTTACAACAATTCAAAACAACTTTAATACCCACAGACAGGAAAATTGTGAAACAAATCATGGCTTATCCATAGAAGGGACACTGTCCAGTCATTAAAGTATGTTATAAAAGACTAGTGGCCTGATGAAGTGTTTTCAATAAGTAAAAAAGTAGAATAGGATTCCATTTTTGTTTTGAAAAAGATACACACACACACACACGCACATACACACACATGCCCACATATATGTTATATGTGAATAGAGATATGCATAAATAAATGCAAAAGTAGCATAGCATCTCATCTCTAGATGGAAATACAGGATGATTTTTAAAATTTTGTACACTTTTATATTTTTTGCTTTTTCTACAAAGGACATGTATTCTGTAATAAGTTTTATTTGTTTTTTTAAAGAAATATCCTACTTTTTTATTCTTCCTGAGATTTGAAATGCCTTTCATCCTCGCTCAAATTTGATCCCTAAGATTTTGGTTAAAGTGGTCCCCAGTTGACTAGAGCGGGTGGTAAACACTTTTTGGTCCTAGATCATACTCCTGGTCCTCTGCTCTTCTACCGCTGTCAGCTCCTGCTTCCTGACTTGGCCTTTCAGAGCCCTGTGGCAAACTTACTGGCTCCAACCCACAGCCCTGCCTAAGGGGCCGTCATGTGCCAGGAGAACCACTGCCGTGGGGCCACCACTGCCATGACAGCGTGGCTGAGCCAGCCTTCCACCTCTCCTCCCCAGCCACCTAGCCCAGGCTGAAGCCGTGGAGCCCGAGCCTGGGGACTTGGCTCGAGGGGTGGGTGCTGCTCAACAGACGTGACAACAGCAAACAGAGCAGGAGCACCATGAGGAGGTAGGAAGCAGGAGAGCACCCAAGAAAGAGCAGCAGGAAAGAAATGCCAAAAATGCCCACCCAGGAAGCCCTCAGGATGCCGTGTTTGTGAGTGATGATCTGGTCTCACGCCACCACAAAACCAGTCCTTCTGGGGGTTCTCCCTGCCCCACCTACGTTGCCACATCCTCATCAAAATCCTTGGACCCAGACCTTGGCTCCCCCAAGTTCCCACATACTCACATTCTCAGGAATTTCTTTGTTTGCTTTCTGTCTCCGGAGATCTGCCCTAATGAATGCTGAGGTTGAGATGGAGAAGGAAGAGTGACAAAAGACACAGAGTCATCAAGTTCATCCAAGAGAGGGGACCCTCATTTTCCTGAGGGTCACAGGTATACCAAACCTACTTCAGATTTCAAGGGAGCTGGGGGCATTGTCAGCCAACTTGATAAAGCCCAAGGATCGCTGCTGTCCCTGACGGGTGGAAGCCAATGATGTCACTGTTCTTCACTTATTCGTCATTTATGTTTGCTGGGGACTTTGCATACATTGCTTTAATTATCACAACAATCCTTATTTTACAGATTAAGGAAATGGACTCCTAGAGGTTGGTCTACATGCCCAAAGTCAATATCTGTAGGAGTCAGTATCACAGCCTGAGATTCAAATACGGGCCTCCCGACTCCAAAGCCCATGCTCATTCCACCAAAACATGTTACTGCCTCTCAAACAGATCTTCTAACAAGCCCTGCCACCTGTCCTCCTGCATGTGTATGTACTCCCTGTCTGTCCAGTGAATCAAGACACTGTGGTCCCAAACTGCCAACAGCCTTGCCCATGGGCAGCCTGGGACTCGTCTTGCCTCACACCCCAACTCACCAGTGAGGGCTGCTCCAAGGGTGAGGAATACGCACAGGAAGATGTTCCCAGGCATGGTTCCATAGTTGTCAATAATCTGGCCCTGGGAGATGGTGAAGATGATCCCAAATACCTGGAAAGGCATGAAGAAGACAGGAAACGAGGACCCAATCACCTAAGCCACAGGAGAATCGAGCTGTCATAACACAGTGCCAGCCCAGCCAGGTAATACTCTCCTATTTAAACAGAATAGATAAGAGCTCTACCTGTGCAGAAACGTTGAGGAGCCCAGATGACATGCCTTCTGATTCCGGGTACGTGAGCTCCACGGCAAACTCGAATCCCAGGGGGAGATAGCCAGTCATAAAGAAGCTGAAGTCCAGAACAGAGAAACAAGGTGATGAAGAACTTCCAGAACAAGAAGGATGGGCAGCCCCGCTCCTCCCTTAGAACTCCTTCTCCTTTTTAGTTTCTTCCCATTATGACAGGCCAGGCCCTTGAACGATCTGGGCATCTCCTACGTGGCAGTACCAAGGAAAGGGGAGCCCTACAGGTCAGGAAGTTCATGCGTAGGCCGATGTTGGGCAGGCCTCCAGGATCCCTTGGGAGGTGGAGCTGAGCAGAGACGCCTGTGAAAGGGGTATTGTTTCTTACGTTTTCTTATACAACACGTCTAGAAAATTCTAATTCCAATTTCATACATCTGTACCACACTTTTTGCTGCTTTCATATCTGTTATCCCTCTCAATCCTTCCAACAACTCTACGAGGCAGACGACTCTTACCTTCATTTACAGATTAGGAAACGGAGGCTCAGAATGTTTTTAATTTTTTTATTTTTTGTAGAGATGGGGTCTCACTATATTGCCCAGGCGGTCTCAAACTCCTGGCCTCAAGTGATCCTCCCACTTTGGCCTCCCAAAGCGCTGAGATTACAGGCCTGAGCCACCATGCCCGGCCTTCAGAATGGTTAAGTGATGTGCCTGTAGTCTAACAGATAATCAGCCACAGAACTGAGACCAGGACCCAGAGTTTCTGATTCCAAGCCCTGTGTATTTTCTATGACCCCATGTTGTCCCAGGCAAAGCTGAAAATGACTCTAAACATTTTCTAGTCTCCCAGAGGTCTTGAAGGGTATATACTCCATGCTTCGTTTTATCTTAACAGCATGAACGACCCAGGCTGCCTTTTGAAGTGCTACAAATATTACCAAGACCCCTGGACACCATTTCCACATCTCTTGAGGTCAGTAAGGCAGCAAAGGGACTGATATTGCATCCTAGGATGTATTGGATGAATATTGGCAGCTCTAGGAGCCATGGAATGGTGTTTGCTAACGAAACAAGTCAGAGGAGAAGCTTACCCCATTGTGCCAGCAGTGATGAACACTACCCACAGGTGTCCCAGGTTCAAGGTCAATGTGTACACCACCATGCCCACCAGAGTCATGATGTAGACCACCAGGGTTGTCTCCCTACAAGTAGAGGCAAAGAAGTTGAGTCGTACACTTCAGACTTTAACAGGATTGATCGTTCATTCATTCCACAAGTACCTATTAGGCACCTGCTGTGTGTTAAGTCCTCTGCTATGTGCTCAGACATCTCTCATAGAACTTTCTGTCCATAAGGGTGACGGACACTGAGCCAATGATTACACAAAAAATTTAATTACATCATGATCAACGCTACAAAGAATAAGACTAGGGAAAGTATGAAGCCATCTTGTTATATGTGTGTTCTCTTTCTGCAGAACCCTCTCAACAATATCAAGCCTCCCCTTAACTTGTCATGTCCGACCCGCAGACAAGAAGGGCACAGCCTTTCCTTCCCCTGTCCCCCACCAGAAAAAAAAAAAAGGACAAACACCAGCCACAGGGAGGTGGCAGTGACAGGACCACCCCAGAAGCCATCTGATTGTTCTTGTCTGCTTTGTCCCAAGACCCCATGACAATGTTGGACAATGATCTAACTTTTAGGTGCTCTCTGTCACCTGCAAGTTCTTCCTGTCCCTACCTGCATAGGCCCAGCACAGCTTTTCCGGTTGAATCTGAACTACTCCACCCCATACGGTGGGAGCTAAGAGAGAACATTTTCTCACCCTAAACTAAGTGCTTGACTTCCAAAGCCAAAGTGAGAAAGCTGCATCCACTCCCTGTTACATTTCCCATTGTCTTTCCCCTCAGAAGCACCTTCAGCAAGTCCTGGTTTCCAGTTCAGGCTCACCCCTGCTTTTGCCCCTCCACACACCTCTCTTGCCATGTCGCCCACCCAGGACTCTGCTGCAGCCCTGACTTCTGCAATTAGACCTGCATTCTTCTCCCTGAACTATTTATGGCAGGGCACAGGCTCTGCACATTCCTCTGCCCTCCTACCATGAACATCAGGACTCAGGTGATGAAAGCTTAAAGCCTTCATACATCTCCCCCAAAGCCACAAACGTGGTGGGTGCAGCAGGGGCACTCCATGGTTATGTCAAACTAATACCTACATGTATTGGGTGTCAAATTCTGTTAAGCACTTTACATGCATTTATTATTTCAATTCAACTCTTACAAAAATCCTGGGGGTGTGACCTAGGGATGACCCTAGGAATATATGACTATATCTAATTTTACCAATGAGGAAACTGAGGCTCAGGCCAGTGAAGTTACTTGTCCAAAGCCACCAGTTGAGTAAATGCAGAGCTGGGGTGGGAACTCAGAGCTGGATTTGAAACCTGTGCTCTTTCTATCACTGCGTACAGGGAATAACAATACACCATGTGGTTGCATCTTTGGAAAAGCTCCAGGTCAGAGCCTCCAAAGGATGTCAAGCCTACCGGTGCTTCAAAGCAGCTGCTGAAGGTAGAGAAGCTTCCTCCTTCCTTCACCCTGAACCCCACATTCTATTTCCACCCACGCTGCAGAAAGCCACTTTTTTTTTTTTTTTTTTTTTTGGGAAACCAGTCTTTCTCAGTGACCTCACAAGCTCACCAGATACTGAACTCTTTTGGCCATGTTAATTTAACCATAGCTTCATCATAAACCACTGACCAGTTTAGAAAAACTATTTCTAGTCCCAGCTTGAGATAAACAGACCTCACCACTCAATTTCCAGCATCCAAACCAAACTAGACAAATCTGGGAGCCTTCCAGAGAAGAGAACTGGCACCCAAATGGTGGGATCACAGAGCTCTGTCCTCCCACTGAGAGTTGTCCTTACTCTGCCTGGGCAATGGCACAGGGAAGAGAGTGCCACATGCTGACCACTGAATTTAGACATCAATCAGTGACAGTAAGAACTGATGACGTCTAGGTTCTGAGAAGGGCTGAGCAAGGGTCCTCCCCAGACCTTTCATTCTATTTTTCAATTCATCTGAATCATTCAGCTGCCCACGTCCCAGCCCAGCCAACATTCCAATCCCTCCCTTCTGCCACAGAGCAAGCCCTGCAAAAAGGGACACTGCTGTTCACTGATTTGGGAGTGGCCAGTCCTCACTACTCTTGTGTCTGGCTGAAGCAACTAACAGATGGCAGAGACGAGATGGCGGCCAAGCTCCACCAGCAGTAATTAAGCGGAGCCAGGCTCCTTGCCACGTTACACCAGGCAGCCACATCCCTAGGGATGGTCTCAATTGGCCTTTGACTAGGGCAGCGAGAGTGAGACCTGGTCTGACCAGAGCCTCACAGAAGCGGGTTTGTATGGCAGAGAACAGGTCTGCCACTGTCTGTCGCCTCCAGACTCTGGGAACTTTGGAGGCCTTGACAAAGCAGCCCAGAGCACCACGCTGCCCCAGGGCAGGACAGCCCCGGCAGCTGCCCCACCAGCCAGTGCTAATCGAGCTCCCAGCGCATACAGGGCACTGGGAATTCACAAGAAGGGAAGGATGTTGGGCCGCTGTTTTCCGGAACATTTCCTCCAAGGCCAGCTGCTGAACTGAGGTGCCCAGATTGCTTTTAACAAATGCGGATTCCTCTACTGAATTAGCATCTGTGGCTATAGGGCCAAGGAATCCCTTTTTTAAAAAACTGTTATGGGTACACAATAGTTGTATATGTTCTGATACAGGCATACAATGTATATTAATCAAATCAGGGTAACTGGGGTATCCATCACCTCAGGCATTTATCATTTCTTTGTGTTAGGAACATTTCAGTTCCACTCTTTTAGCTATTTTAAAGTACCCCCTAACTTATTGTTGATTATAGTCACTTTGTTGTGCTATCAAGTATTATTCATTCTATCTATCTAACTAACCATATTTTTGCACCCATTAACAATCCTCACTTTATCCTCCTTCCCTGCTACCTTTCCCAGCCTCTGGTAACCATCATTCTATTCTCTGTCTCCATGAGATCAATTGTTTTTAATGTTTAGCTCCCACATGAGTGAGAACATGCAACATCTGTCTTTCTGTGCTTGGCTTCCTTCACTTAACATAATGTTCTCCAGTTCCATCCATCTTGTTGCAAATGGCAAGATTTCATTCTTTTTGTGGCTATATAATATTCCATTGTGTCTATGTACCACAATTTCTTTATCCATTCATCCATTTATGGACAATTAGGTTGATTCCATATCTTGGCTACTGTGAATAGTGCTGCAGTAAACATGGGAGTACAGATAGCGTCTCAATATACTGACTTCCTCTCCTCTTTTGGATATATACCCAGCAGTGGGGTTGCTGGGTCATACGGTAGTTCTATTTTTAGCTTTTTGAGGAACCTCCATACTATTCTGCATAGTGGTTTACTAATATACAGTCCCACCAGCAGTGTACAAGGGTCCTCTTTCTCCACATCCTCTCCAGCATTCGTTATTGCCTGTCTTTTTGATAAAAGCCATTTTAACTGGGGTAAGATGATACCTCATTGTAGTTTTGATTTGCACTTCTCTGATGACTAATGATGATGAGCATTTCTTCACATACTTCTTGGCCACTTGTATGTCTTCTTTTGAGAAATGTCTATTCAGATGCTTTGCCTATTTTTTAATTGAATTATTTGATTTTTTCCTATGGAGTTGTTGGAGCTCTTTATATATTCTAGTTATCAATCCCTTGTCAGACAGGTAGTTTGCAAATATTTTCTCCCATTCTGTGGGTTGTCTCTTCATTTTGTTTATTGTGTCCTTTGCCGTGCAGAAGCTTTTTAGCTTGCTGTGGTCCCATTTGTCCAATTTTGCTTTGGTCGCCTGTGCTTTGGGGGTATTACTCAGGAAGTCCTTGCCCAGACCAATGTCCTGCAGCATTCCCCCATTGTTTTCTTTTAGTAGTTTCATACAGGTCTTAGATTTAAGTCTTTAATCCATTTTGATTTGATTTTTGTATATGATGGGAGATAAGGGCTTCATTATTCTGCATGTGGATATCTAGTTTTCCCAGCATAATTTATTGAAGAGACTGTCCTTCCCCTACTGTATATTCTTGGCACCTTTGTGGAATGTAAGTTCCCTATAGACGTGTGGATTTATTTCTGGGTTCTCTATTCTGTTCCTGGTCTGTGTGTCTGTTTTTATGGCAGTACCATGCTGTTTTGATTACTACAGCTCTGTAGTATAATTTGAAGTCAGGTAATGTGATTCCTCCAGTTTTGTTCTTTTTGCTTAGGATGGCTTTGGCTATTCTGAGTCTTCTGTGGTTCTATATAAATTTTAGGAATATTGTTTCTATTTCTGTGAAAAATGTCATTGGTATTTTGATGGAGATTGCATTGACTCTATAGATTGCTGTGGGTCATATGGTAATTTTAATAATATTCATTCTTCCAATCCATGAGCATGAAATATCTTTCCTTTTTTTGTGTGTCCTCTTCAACTTCTTTCATCAATGTTTTATAGTTTTCGTTATAGAGATCTTTCATTTCTTTGGTTAAGTTTTTTCCTAGGTATTTTATTTTATTTGAAGCTATTGTAAATGGGATTACTTTCTTGGTTTCTTTTTCAGATTGTTTACTGTTGGCATATAGAAATGCTACTGATTTTTGTATGTTGATTTTTTATCCTGCAACTTTACTGAATTTATTTATCAGTTCTAATAGTTTTTTTTTGTGGAGTCTTCAGGTTTCTCTAGATATAAGATCTGCAAACAAGGATAATTTGACATCTTCCTTTGCAATTCAGATGCCCTTTATTTCTCTTGTCTGATTGCTCTAGCTAGAACTTCTAGTACTATGTTGAATAGCAGTGGTAAAAGTGAGCATCCTCATTTTGTTCCAGATCTTAGAGGAAAAGCTTTCAGTTTTTCCCCATTCAGTATGATACTAGCTGTGGGTCTGTCATATATGGATTTTTTTTTTTTTTTTTGAGACAGGGTCTCGCTCTGTCGCCTGGGCTAGAGTGCAGTGGTGTCATCATAGCTCACTGCAACCTCAAACTCCTGGGTTCAAGCGATCCTCCTGCCTCAGCCTCCCAAGTAGCTGGGACTATAGGCATGTGCCACAACACCCAGCTAATTTTTCTATTTTTTGTAGAGACGGAGGCATGCTTTTGCTCAGGC